GCAGAGCTCTTCTTATGTTCTTATGGATGAGGGCAACTGAGACACAATCCAGATGGGATGCAAGTCCTGTCAGTCAGTGGGTCGCCTACTCTTCTGAATGGTATTCAGACTGTTCTAGATGGGCAGGTCTTTCAAACAGAGGATGGTTACTGCATTTTCAGCACTGAAGTGAGCTCTCTGGAGCACAAGCCTGTGCAGTTTGTATGGAGGTCCTGGGCTGCTCAGAGGACAACACACACCCCTCGGCCTTGCTGATATGGTCCAAAGGAAAGCAGAGCAATATGTTTGGCACCAACTTGGATGCAGGAGTTGCAGGAAGGAGGCATACAACATACCATCCAACTGTCTTAGGGACTCCACTCCAGATTTGTGTAGAGCTTCCTCCTTAGCCTTTTCTTTTCCCACAGATGCCTCTCAAGGCAGCAGGCATGGCTCATTCCTCAGGGTTTACTCCCAAAGCCTTTCTCATGAATGAGTATAGCTACAAGGCATATCAGAGATTTCCTTCTCCTAGATGGGCTACCTTCCCAAGTTGCCAAGCCCCATCTGCCCCTCATTTTCCTCTCCAACACAATGCAGTAACTGCCTTCATGACCATTGGACCCACTATTGGTCTTGTCCACTCAATCCACCAGAGTCCATCTTCTCATGCAAGGGAAAGAGGGTGGATAATGAGGTCTGAAAAGAAGCTTTCTCCAACACCATCACTGCTGCTGGACGGGAAGTTGAGGAAAGGGAATAGGACCGGGGAAGCTAGATGTCCATGCCTAGCCCCAATTCAAAATAGTTTCAGAAGTTTGTTATTACTGAACTGAGTTGTATGTCTGCACTCAATTCCAGAACTTGACAGCAACACTAGTGGCAATAAGCTGAACCTGTGGGCAGGTTGACTGTGTGGTATATACTGGTATATACCAGTAATAAACATCATATTTAGAAACATAGATAGGTGCCCCCACCAGCACGGGTACATGCAACCACCCAAAAAGTTACAAAGGAAGACAATGCTCCTGCAAGGTCAAAAGAAGTTCATTTCTGATTACCTACAAAAAGTTCGCCTTCTCATATCAGCTCTGCCATAGAACTCCTTTCAATGAGACCTTTTTGTTATATCTCCCAAAATGTTTGCATTTATAAAATCTTTATCCTGACTGTTCCGCTTGCATAGCAAAAACTGTTATATGAGATTATGGTTATGATATCTGGCTATTGATTTAGCAGGGTATTATCTCAAAGCATTTCTACCTTCCCCTCCTCTCCCGGTCTTTGAGAGACATATCGTTCCCTCTTTAAACAGCTCATCACAGATGTATCACCCGAGGATCTATTTCTGAGTGAGATTTCACACTGAATGAGCATTATCCTTGATAGAATTTTTAATACATAGCTAGCAACTAGGCATTGATCGAGAAGAGTTAAGCTGGGGCTGAAGGCTACATAAATATAAATGTGTCGTAATTGCTTACAATAACTAGTTACAGGCCTCGAAATAAGAGTGGCTATCTCCCAGAATACCTCCTCCTCTGTTTTCTAGTGGTGTTAATAGTCTTATGAAAGAAATATTTCCAGCTATCTTTTCCAGCACTGAAGCCAAATTTGTTTGGGGGATAAGATGGGGCATGGCAACAAGATGCTATAATCCATCAATCATTAACTGGCATATGGCTCATGGGAGGTTAGCATGGACTACAATCAGAGGCAGAGCAAGGCAGAGCAAGGCGGGTGTGGTGGGTGCAGTGCGCTCTGGGTACCATCCTTACAGGGGTGACATTCTGCTCCCCACCGGCCCACGACCTCCAAGCCTACAGTGGGGCTGCCACCCCCCAGCAAAGCTGCAAAGGAGCTGCTGCAAGGCAATCCGACCCGCTAGCCTTCAGCTGCGCGCGGCTTTGCAGCTCCAGATCTCTCAGAACTGCTGCCGCGAGCAGAGGATCCCACCGCCGTCCGTACGGCGCTGTGTTGGCAAACCGCCCGTTGGTGCATGTGTGGCACGTAGTAGCAGTGCACATGTGCCATACGTATGGCGCATGCTCCACCGGGCGGTTTGCCCTGCCCCCTGACATCCCGCACCTGGTTAGCCTTCCTTTGCCCCTGACTACAATAATTAGTCTCAGCTACTGTAATTTTTTTTTTTAGAAAACAGGGCTGTTAGCTGAAAGTGGATCAATGAAACTGCAAGTGGCTCCTTTGCCGCTGAATGGAACTTTTAATTCTTTATGATGTCCAGCCAGCCTAAGTTGAATTATGGTAGCATTAGCAGGAGCGCCAACTGGAATAAAATATGGGGGAGAGGCAGGTAAGCCCGACCACACATAATTGATCAGAAGACATTTGAATTTCAACGCCCATCAGCTTGGGGGGGGGGGGTCTGGCCCCTTAAAATATTTTATTGGTAGGGCCAAGAGACCTCAGCCCCTATGAGTTGGCTTACCAAGCCTGATGCTCACCAGATATTGCAAGACTATCATTCCCATCCTCCCTGACCTTTTGCTATGCTAGTTGAAGCTGGTGAGAATTTAAGCCCAACAAGATCTGGAAGATGCCAGGTTGGGGAAAGCTGAGTTAAGAATGGGCCAAAGTTACAATCTTCTTGCCTTGGGTCCACCTGAGAACATTGGTCCTTGCATTATTATGTACAGAGGAGAGTTGGACATGAAAAGGGACCCATATAGGTAACCAGCTGGTGCAAAATAAATGCAATATGGGCTGAGGGTTTAGCCCTAGTCAAGACCCAGATGGTTGTGTTCTGCACCAGTTGAGGTTTCTGAAACATCTTCAAAGACAGTCCCATATAGAGCCAGGAAATGTAATTAGGGTGTGGATCAGTGTAATGGGATTGGCTGTGCCCAAATAGAGTCACAGCCTGCAAATCACCCTAAATTAATAAAAGACACCCCTTGTCAAGTGTTGCCACTGAATATCATTGCTGAGTCCAGGAGAATCCCCAAGCTGTGAGTTTGGTTTTTCAGAAGGAGCACAACCCCATCCAGAATCAGCTGGAATAGGCAATTACCACAACCAGAGTTCATTGTCTTGCTTCAGTTTGCTCATCCGCATCCATTTCAGAGCTCTTACCAGACACCTGCACAAACTGGAATTAAAGAGATATTCCTCCTTTTCTCACACACAGGAGGGAAAACCTCTTATAAGATGATGCCGTGTACACATGTGTGCATTCTCAAAAAACAAAGAAAGGATGTTTAATGTTTAAGAAGTATTGGTTTTTCCCATATGCAAGCTTAATCGACAGAGCAATCAACTGATTGATTATTACAGTTCATACATTTAATCAATTTAACTGGCCTGCAGCCCCAGTTGGAAAGGGTGTCACCGTTCCTTGTTGTCAATACCCAAGTTCGTCTGATATCATAGTGGGGTTGGACAGTTTCAGACCCAAGCAGCTGGGTTGCAAAATCACAGTGCAGAGAATCTGTATTTGAGGTTTTACAGAATAAAAAAAAAAATCATTCAGTAAAAATGATAATTAAAATGATATGCTGTCATTTGTTTAAACACCATGGACAACCAAAACACTATTTTTCATCTTTTGGTTTTCTCCTCCTCTTTTTTTAAGCAGAGATACAACAATGGACACAACTGCTCATTTTTCAAGGAAGCAGTAATGCTCATTAAAATTCCAGTCTCTTCATTTGGGAATATTGAGTCATGGTACTTTTTTATTCTATTTGGAGTGGTCTTATTTATAGACAGTAATCCAAAAGCAATTTTGATTAGGTGGCAGATGCTGAAGAAGGAAATGATGGGGAAGACAGTGAAGATATATTGTTGACCTTTCTATTGAAAGATGGTGCATACAAAAGCAACAGCCCTGATGCATTCTTGGCAGTTGCTAAAATACATGTAATTCCACAGGCATGTGAAAGCAAAAGTCAAAATGCAGTGTAACGATGGTAAGCGAGTGGATGCTATTTCAGGGTGGGAAAGAGCACCAAGCTTCAATAGAGTGTTGAAAAGGATTACTGCAGAATGTGCAAAGCATCCCCACATCTTTATCTTTTGTATTCTTCATTGTTGGGATCTAAAGTAGTAGCTTTAGTTTTTACTTTCTTGGGTTCCATGATCACTGCAGATGGTGACAGCCATGATTACTGCAGATGGTGACAGCAGTCACGAAATTAAAAGACGCCTGCTTCTCAAGAGAAAAGCAATGACAAACCTAGACAGCATCTTAGAAAGCAGAGACATCACCTTGCCAACAAAGGTCTGTATAGTTCAAGCTATGGTTTTCCCAGTAGTGATGTATGGAAGTGAGAACTGGACCATAAAGAAGGCTGATCGCCAAAGAATTGATGCTTTTGAATTATGGTGCTGGAAGAGACTCTTGAGAGTCCCATGGACTGCAAGAAGATCAAACGTTTCCATTCTTAAGGAAATCAGCCCTGAGTGCTCACTGGAAGGACAGATCCTGAAGCTGAGGCTCCACTACTTTGGCCACCTCATGAGAAGAGAAGACTCCCTGGAAGACCCTGATGTTGGGAAAGATTGAGGGCACAAGGAGAAGGGGATGACAGAGGATGAGATGGTTGGACAGAGTTCTCAGAGCTACTAACATGAGTTTGGCCAAATTGTGGGAGGCAGTGGAAGACAGGAGTGCCTGGCATGCTCTGGTCCATGGGGTCACAAAGAGTCAGACATGACTACACAACTAAACAACAACAATAACAATAACAAAAGTAGTAGCTATTTTCTGGCACATTGTAGGAAAGCAGATTTATAATGTCCCACATCCTTGTTGTAGCCAGCATGGATTACTGTAATGATTTCAGCAGGAGATTACCTTTGAAAACCACTTTGAAACAGCTACCAGTTCAGCTACTAGTGGTCCAGGCTTAATTTGACCTAAGAAAGACTCTTTCCCAGGTCTTCATCCTGGGAAATGTTTGGAGTGCCATGTACGGTCCTGGAACATGTGCAGTAATGATGCAGAACTGCACACCTGTGGCTAGTGATTTGCCTGGCTTCTTCAAATACTTTGAGGAAGGGTTGTAGCTCAATGGTGGAGCCATCTGCTTTGCATGCAGAAGGTCCCAAGTTTAATCCCTGGCATCTCCAGGTAGAGCTGGGAGAGAACCCTGCCTGAAACCCTAGAGAGTCACTGCCAGTCAGTACAGCAGAAAGGACCAATGGTCTGATTTGGTATAAGACACTTTCCTAAATCAGTATAAGATTGCATCACTCTCTGAAGAGCCTCTGAGGTTCCTTTGGTAAGCTCTTTACAGGTGGGGCCTACCCGCAGATATGAGGAACTGTGTAAGTAGATTTATTGCACAAATCCCATTTGAAATGAATTTATATATGTATGTATTAGTTTTATCATAGTTCGCTATATTACATCTACTTTGTAAAGAAAGAAGGTTCTAAAAATAAGGTTGCTCTCTTGAGGAACTCCCATGCGTTTTAACACAGTATGGTTCAGCAAGTGAATTCCTTGTGAATAGGACCCCATTTGAGGGCGGCTGTATCACAGCGTGAACCCATTTTCACATGCAAGGCACTTTGACGGGAAAAAAGAGTTCTCTGCCGGCAATTATATCTGCAACTATAACATTGATTTTCCAATCCCATGCAAAGTTAACAATTTTCACCCACCCACCTCCCCAAAAATGACAAGCGTAAGACGAGCAGTCGACTCTGATGAGGATTTGTTCCCTGCCTCATAAAACCAGACCTCTTCACAGCTCAGGATTACAGACTCCAAAGGACTGGCAGAAGAATATCCTCTCCTTTTAAATCTTCAGTTAGCAGCCTCCAAAGCAAGGTTGAAAATAAGCAGGATGTAACTAGGCCATTAACTAAGCTGATGAAATCATCTCTCTCTCTCTCTCTCTCTCTCTCTCTCTCTCACACACACACACACACACACACACACACGCACACACATTAATATCTCCTCCTGTTCCATCCACTTTCCTATTTCCCCCTCTCACATGGGCACACAAACACATGTATTGAAATGTTACCAAAGCAAGTCAGTGTCTTATCAACAGCAGTTAGACCTCAAGGCTGGGTTTGTTTTGGATGGGGCATTTTTCCTCAGGAGCTTACTGTTGCAGGCCACTCACTGGTGAAGAAAGCAGCAAGGAAGGTGAGGCAAGTGGTCAGGGTCAATATTTTCACACAAGGCAGCTTTATGAGTGTATTAGCCCTTCAGGAGTTCCTCACCCAACTCAAGGGGGCAGTGGGTCATTGTCTCCAGAAAACAAGTCAATGCCTTCTTTTGCTAAAGGTGGAAGTGTAATTCTGGGCTTTTTACCAGAGCCAGTGGGTGATGCTATGAGTGACCGTTGGGCTGTTCCATCAGTTTTTAAAAGTAGGTGAGTATTTTCTTACAGTATGTTGTTTTCACATAATGTTTTTACCTTAAGGATAAAATATTCATATCAACTCAATACTGACAGCTCAGTTGGTTAGAGTGTGGTGCTGATAACGTCAAGGTTGCTGGTTTGATCCCCATGTGGGACAGCTGCATATTCCTGCATTGCAGGGGGTGAGACTAGATGATCCTCAGGGTCCCTTCCAACTCTACAATTCTATGAGTCTATCATTCATACATTAGACATAGGCATTCCTGGATATGTACCAGCAACAGGGAGCTGCATCCAATCCAGGCTCATTTATTAGCATGCCTTTATTGTTTGAGGTTTGCAAACACATGTTTGTCACATTCAGCATTTAAATGTTAAATTGTCAGATTTCAGGGAATCCGATTCTCCCCCCATGGCAGGCTGCCATTAATAGATAGACAAGATGCTCTTACCAAGTCTTTTATTCAATATTCAGAGAGAGGCTTAGAAATGCTACCTCTTTGAGTAATGGTGTTGCTCCAAGTAAGCTCCACCTCTTCTCTTCTCAGTTGTCAACACCACCACCACCCTTAGGTGGCTGCTTAAGGCCAATTACCTCTTAGCTCTTTGCTCTTCCACTTTCACTGCTCACCAGGTTCTGGGAGAAGGGGGGTCTGGAATGCTTTCTATTGATAACGTGTCAGCCAGCTGCTCCAGCTCTGCTTCTCCCCCCCTCCTCTTCTCCCATTATCTCCCACCTTTGCCCCTCTTCTGTCTCTGAGCCGTGACCTTCTGCAAACCACTGTTGTAAATCTATACTGTCTTCCTCTTCTCTGGAAGTTTCAGGAGGGGTGGTGGTCTCCTCCATCCTCCTCAGTCCAGTCCCTGACATTATTGAATTGGAGCCTCAGCTTCAGGATCTGTCCTTCCAGTGAGCACTCAGGGCTGATTTCCTTCAGAATGGATAGGTTTTGTGATGGCCTGGGATTCCGATTCGGAGGATGAAACAGAGGAATCCCGGCCTGCACAGGAGTCCCCGCCTCCAGGGCCGGCTGAACTGGGGCAAGGCCTTGATGCTGAAGAGCCTGCACCTGTGGCAGTGCATCAGGAGCTGGCCCCAGGTGAAGCCCTTCGGGCCCCAGAGGGGCTTGATGACTCAGTGGCCACAGGTGAGCCTCCTCCAGGGCCCAGTAACCCTTCGGCCTCTCCTGATCTGCAGAGGCTTAGGGCAGAGAGGCGAAGGGAACTGGTTGCCCCCAGGAGGAGTGCTCGCCTTAAGGCCAGAGGAGGCGGGGCTCCTGGGGACCGGGACCGCCCCTGGCCTTAGAAGAGGATAAAAGCCCAGTCAGCCCGGCCCCAGGTTGCGGGAGCAACGTCGTTGTTGGCCGGACCTTCCTGTGTTCCTGATCCCTGCTCGGCTTCCTGTTCCTGACTATCCGGTACTCCTGTTCCCTGCTCGGCCTCCTGTTCCCGACCATCCGGTGTTCCTGTTCCCTGCACAGCCTCCTGTTCCAGCACTCCTGTTCCCCGCCCGGCTCTCTGCCTCGGACCTTGCCCCTCTTCGTGTGGACTCTGCTACACCCAAGGTACCTTACCCCGGGACCAGCACAGTTTGCTCCCGCCCAACCCGCACTCCCCCTTCGTAGGGGTGCGTTCGGGGAAGAGCCAGAGGCCATGGCTGACCAGGCGGCTGCACTGGTGGCTTTGGCCCAGAAGAACCAGGCCTTGACTCACACCGTGCAGCAGCTCAGTGACGCGGTTGTGGCACTTCAACAACGCTTGGAAGCCCTACCGGCTCCTGGGGCCGGCGCCTCGGCTCCTGGCAAGTACCCAGTGGCTTTGCCTGAGAAATTTGATGGAGCCCCGGCCAGCTTTCCCATGTTCCTGGCCCAGGCCAAGCTGTATATTCAGGGGCGAGCCCGGAACTTTCCTGACGACCGCACCAAGGTGCACTTTTTGATTAGTTTGTTAAAGGACCAGGCGGCCACCGTGGGCGTTGCCGCTACTCAGGCAAGACTCCCCCTTGCTGGCAGACTATACGGGTTTGCAATCGTTTGGAGGCCGCGTTCGGCAGCCCCCAGAAAGGAGTCAAGCCAACCGGGCGATTCGGCGTTTGAAACAGGGCAAGTCCACGGTGGCCGCATATACCACGGAGTTTCGGCTGTTGGCACAGGACTTGACCTGGAATGATTCGGCACTGCGGGACCAGTATCTCGAAGGGCTTTCGGACGAGGTACTGGACCAGTTGGCCACAATGGAACGCCCCACCACGCTAGACACTCTCATTCAGCGGAGTCTACAAATGAGACGACCGGTTGGAGGATCGTCGTCAGGCCCGGGGTCGCCGACACTTCCAGTTCACGGCACCAGCTTTTCCGGCAGCCCCACGGTCACAGCTGATTTAACGGAGGAGCCTATGCAGCTCGGGGCAGTGCGGCCACGCCTTTCCCCCGCAGAGAAGGCGCGGCGTCGGGAGGAAATCTCTGTCTTTACTGTGGCGGAAGTGGACACTTCGCTCGGTCTTGCCCTGAGAAACGCCAGCCGCAGAAGCCGCCACCCCCAGTAGCTGATGGCCCTAGCTGCCGGGGGTCCCAAACCGCGCAGAATGGGCCTGCATCAATGGACTCGCAACATCTTATGGTTCCGGTCCGTTTATACCCTCCAGGTGGGCCCTGGATCCCCACCCATGCTTTGGTGGATTCAGGGGCAACCCGCTCTTATATGGACGCTGCTTTTGCCGCCCATCATCAGGTGCCACTTCGGAACAAGCCAGTACCGGTCCAGGTGGAAGCGATTGACGGACGACTTCTGTGTTCAGGTGCCGTTACTCAGGAGACCCAGCCCCTGGTCCTGTGTTTCCAGCAGCACCGGGAGTTGCGAACTTTGGACATTGCCTCTATGCCCCCGCTTCCCCCTGGTGCTCGGGATGGACTGGCTGGAAGCCCACAACGTTCAGATTCACTGGGTCAAACGGACCGTGCACTTCCCAGACCCATGTTCCCATGCTCAATCCGGGACGCTGGCGGCCGCGCCCTCAGAGGAGGCAGCACCCACGCTCCCAGCCGTGTATCAGGACTACCAGGACGTGTTCGAGGAACGGGGGCAGACCAGCTGCCGCCGCATCGGCCTTTCGACTGCGGCATAGACCTCCAACCCGGAGCGCCTCTACCAGTGAGTCGCTTATATTCTCTAACAGAGCCAGAGCGCGAGGCTTTGCAGGACTTCTTGCGCAAGAACCTGGAGCGTGGGTTCATTGGGCCGTCCACCTCGCCTACCGCGGCACCAGTGCTTTTCGTTAAGAAGAAATGTGGGGAACTCCGCCCTTGCCATGATTACCGAGCCTTGAACAAAATTACCGTCCCAGACCGATACCCCTTGCCCCTTATCTCGGAGCTGCTGGAGCGGGTGCAAGGGGCACAGGTGTTCACCAAGCTGGACCTCCGGGGGGCCTACAACTTGATTCGGATCCGAGCCGGGGATGAGTGGAAGACAGCGTTTGGGACCCGGTTCGGGCAGTTCGAATATTTGGTTATGCCTTTCGGGTTGTGCAACGCGCCTGCAGGGTTCCAACGCTACCTCGGCCACGTGGTGCAGGCCTTGTTAGACAAGTACGTGGTGGTGTATTTGGATGACATACTGATTTACTCCCGTGCCCGTGCTGCAGCGCTTGCGTGAGCACCGTTTGTACGCAAAGCTCAGCAAGTGCGAGTTCCATCAGCGGACTGTGGACTTCCTTGGTCACCGGCTCTCTCCGGATGGGGTGCAAAT